AATCTATTTATTCAGTGCCATATGAAACCATAAAAAAATGTTTTATAGAGCTAGAAAAAATAACAAAATTCATCTGGAAGAACAAAAGGCCAAGAATATCAAGGGAATCAATGAAATAAAATGTGAAGGATCATTTCAGATCCCAAATTGTGTTATAAAGTGGTAATTATACAATCTGGTACTGGCTAAGAAATAGAGTGGCAGATCAATGCAATAGATTCCATACCAATCACATTAGAGTAAGTGATCTTAGAAGTCTAGTATATGATAAACCCAAAGATCCAAACTATTGGAACAAAAACTCATTATCTGACAAAAATTGCTGGGGAAACTGGAAAACAGTATGGCAGAAACTAGGTACAGACCAACATCTCACACTGTATACCAAGCTAAGGTCAAAATGGGCATATGATTTACACATAACGTGTGATATCAAAAGCAAATCAGGAGAGCATGGAATAGTTTATCTGTCAGAGCTATGTGTAAGGTAAGAATTTAGGACCAAAGAAAATATAGAGAGCATTACAAAATGTAAAATAGATAATTTTGATTATGTAAAATTTTAAAGTTATTGCACAAACAAAACCAATGCAATCAAAACTATTAGGAAAGCACAAAATTGGGGGGAAATTTTGCAACAAGTTGCTCTGATAAAGGTCTCATTTCTCAAATATATAAAGAACTGGGTCCAATTTATTAGAATACAAGGCATTCCCCAATTGATAAATGATCAAAGGATATGAACATGCAGTTTTCAGATTAAGAATTTAAACCTATTTATAGTCATATGAAAAATGTCCTCAATCACTACTGATTAGAGAAATGCAAATTAAAATAATTCTAAGGTACTGTCTCACACTTATTACATTGGCTAATATGACAAAAAAGGGAAACCATGGCTGTGGGAGGGGATGTGGAAAAATTACGATACCAATGCATCATTGGTAGAGTTGTGAACTGATTCAACCATTCTGGAGAGCAATTTGGAGCTATGACCAAAGGGCTAAAAAAAAACTGCACCTACTCTTTGATCTAGCAACGCCATTGCTAGGTCTATATTCCAAAGCCATCCAAAAAAGGGAAAAGTACCTATTAGGACAAAAAATATTTGTAGCAGCTCTTTTTTGTGGTGACTAAGAATTGGAAAATAAAGAAATACTCATCAATTGGGGAATGGCTGAACAAGTTGTGGTATATGATTATAATGAAATATTATTTCACTATAAGAGATGACAAGCAAGATGATTACAGAAAAACCTGGAAAGATTTACATGAACTGATGCAAAGTGAAGTGACTAGAACCAGGAGAATGTTGTACACAGCAACAGCAATATTGTTCAATGAATTATGAATGATTTAGCTGTTCTCAACAATACAATGATCCAAGACAATCCCAAAGGACTAATGATGAATGCTATTATCTGTCTCCACAGAAAAAATGGAAACTTTGAATATAGACTAAAGCATGCTGTTTTCACTTTCTTTCATTCCTTTCTTTTATTCAAGTCTTCTTGTACAAAATGACTAATATTGAAATGTTTTACATGATTGCATATGTATAACCTATATCTGATTGCTTACCATCTCAAGGAGAGAGGAGGGACAGAGAGGGGATAGAATTTGGAACTAAAATCTTTTTTAAAATGTTAAAAAAAAAATTGCAACATGTAATTGGGGGAAAAATAAAACATACAGGAAAAAATTTTAAATCTAATTAGGCTAATTACTACAGACACAATCCATTTAAGGTATCCTTACCCATTAGCTGAAGTTTAGGCTTATTGAGGATTAATTTACTACTATTCTAGGGAAAGTTCAGACTTTCTTGCTGTGTAGTTATAAACCTCACCCAAATGTGTAATCATTTCCTCTCATAAAAAGTTCTGGAGAGCTACTTATTTTGTCATTAAAATAAGAGGGCTCTTTCTGAAATTTTTGATTATGAGCCCAGACTTTTCCTTGTTGATAATGACACAGTAAACAACGAGATTAGTGTCAAAAAATGAATCAGTACCAGTATTCTGGAGTTGGTCTTTCTGCCTGTTGGACCACACCTTTTCCTAACACATGGACATTGTTTAAGATTTTCCATCTGAAAGCAGTTTTCCCTTAAAATAATATTTTTATAAAGTTCAGTAAATTAAATGGCTTCATTCTACATTCTCAAGGACAATAAGAGATATATTTACTTGTACATATACAACATAAGTAGCTCATTGCATTAATACAAAATAATACTTAATTAAACACAGATGCATTTCAAGCCCAACACAATTCAGGATTTCACTGCAATATTACTATAGGAGTTTTAATTTCTTTAAAAAATTTTTAATTCTATTTTATTTTTAGTTCCAAATGCTCTGCCTTTCCCACTCCTCCCCAAGCAAAAATAAAAAAGCCCACCATTACAAATATATATAGTCATGCAAAACAAATGTCTGCATTAATCATGTAGGAATGCACAGTTCAACAGTTTTTTGGGCATAGTCCTAAGTTGCTTTTCAGAATGGTTTTTACCGAGTCATAGCTCTACCAATAGTGTGTTACTGTACCTATTTTCCCTCATCTCCTCCAGCATTTATCATTTTTTTTGTCATGTCAGCCAATCTGACAGGTATGAGGTAGTACCTCAGCATTGTTTTAATTTGCATTGCTCTTCTTATTATTAATTTCAAGCATTTACATGGTTATTGATAACTTTCATTTCTTCCCCTGAAAACTGCCTATTCATATCCTTTGACCATTTATCAATTGGGGAGTGGCTTTTATTCTTGTAAATTTGGTTCAGTTCCCTATATATTTTAGAAATAGGATCTTTATTGAAAAAATTTGCTGAAAGGTTTTTTTTTCAAATTTCTTGCTTTTCTTCTAATTTTAACTATGTTGGGTTTTGTCCAAAACCCTTTTTGTTTTATGTAATCAAAATTATTCCTTTGACCTCCTGCGAGCCTCTCTATCTCTTGTTTGGTCATGAACTCTTTCTCTATTCATAGATCTCACAAGTAATTTCTTCCATGTGCCATTTAATTTGCTTATGTCACCTTTTATTTCTTTATTTTCTTTTTCTTTTTTTCTTTTTTTGCAATTGGGGTTAAGTGACTTGCCTAGGGTCACATAACTAGTAAGTGTCAAATGTCAGTTCTGAGGCTGGATTTGAATTCAAGTCTGTCTGACTTCAGGGCAAGGGCTCTATCCACTGTGCCACCTAGCTGCCCTTTACTTTTTATTTCTAAACCTTGTACCCATTTTGAGCTTATATATTGGTATATATAGTGTGAGATGTTAATCTATACCTAGTTTCTGTCAGACTTCTTTCCAGTTTTCCTGACTGAGTTTTTGCCCCAATGACTGGTTTCAGTTTTAGGTGCATCAAACACTAGATTAGTGTGTTTATTGCTTCTCTGTGCTGTGTACCTAATCTAATGAACATCCTTGGTTCACCCTTAATCTTATTGGAAAGGTTTCTAGGTTATTCCCATTACAGATGATGCTTGCTCTTGGTTTTAAATAGATACTACTTGTCATTTTAAGGAAAAAAATTTATTCCTGCATTCATCCATTTATAATCTGTATTTGGAATAAAAGTCATGTGACAAATGAGCTCTCTAAGGGGAAGCAGGGTAGGAACCTGGACCAGATGAATTTACAAGCTAACTCTACCAAACATTTAAAGAACAATTCCAGTGCTTTCTAGTATTTTTAATAGAAATCAGTGTTGTCAAAAGCTTTTTCTGCATCTGTTGAAATCATGAAGAGGAGCTAGGTGGTACAGTGGATAGCATTCCAGCCTAAGGTCAGGAAGACTTATCTTCCTGAATTCAAATCTGGCCTCAGACACTTGCTAGCTATGTGACCCTGGGCAAGTCACTTAGCCTTGTTTGCCTCAGTTTCCTCATCTGTCAAATGAGCTGGAGAAGGAAATGGTAAACTACTCCAGTATCTCTGCCAAGAAAACCCCAAATGGGACACAATTGAAATGACTGAGAAATGCAAAATTGAAATCACATGATTTCAGTTGTTTTTGTTATTGATGTGGCCAGTTACTCTTATGATTTTCTCAATATTGAACCAGCCTGGCATTCCTGCTATAAATCCAGCCTGGTCATAGAATATGATCTTTGTGATGTATCGCTGTAATCTCCTTGCTAGTATTTAAATTTTTACATCAATATTCATTAGGGAAATTGGTCTATAGTTTTCTCTGCTTTGACTCTCCCTAGTTTAGGCATCAAAACCATATTTGTGTCATAGAAGGAATTTGGTAGGACTCCTTATTTACCTATTTTTTCCAACAATTTATGTTGCACTAGAATTGTTCATTAAATGTTTGGTAGAATTCACTTGTAGATTCATTTGCTCTTGGGTTTTGGTTTGGTTTTTCCTGCTTTAGGGAACTCATTTGTCACAGGACTATTTTATTTCAAATACAGATAATAAAACTAAGGTGGACATCTGGAAGCTCCTCTCTGATCTTCCTCCATTAAAAGATGGTAACCACACCATCCTCATCAACCCCCCACCCAGCTGCTTTCTTGGACGTCATCATCTCCTCAAAGCCTTCATTCTTAAAGATGAAATCCACTGAGAAACTCACACCTCCTCAGGATTGCCTACTTCTAGGATCCCTCATCCGTCTGGTTAGAGAGGATGGAGTAAGGACATTGGAGAGCTCCTTTCTGGTGCTTTTCCATTTAAGGATGGCACCCAAGGAATTCTCCTCACAATTTCCCACCCAGATACATGTCTCAACTTCATCATCTCCAGAAACTCTTCATTCTGTAAGATGACAGCAACTTGGAAACTCCCACCTCCTCAGATAATTTTCCACTAGCCATAAGTTGTCATCATGCTCCCCCCACCTTTTCAGCTTCTTTCTCTCTTCCCTCCCCCCACTTAAGACTGTGAGCTCCTGAGGGCAGGGACTCTGCCTTCCTTTGCATACACAGAGCTTAGCACAGTGCCTAGCACAGAGCAGGCGATTAATAAATGTTTATTGACTCTGACTCTGACTCTTTTATTAAACTTTCACAGAAAAAACCTTCCACAGAATAATAAGTATGTTTAACATGACAGCTAATTAGGCAGAGTCCACATGTCAACATGGAGCAAGGGATGGTTCATTTCAATAGCATCTTCTCTTGGTCTTTCACTTTTTGGATCCTTTTTTCCTGATTCCTGATCATTGAAGACATTGCTGAAAAAGATAATAAAACGCAAGTGAGCCTGGGCTGAGAGAAGCAAGCAACGTTTCCAGCTGCTGGAATGCTGTTTAAAAGCAGAGCTATAGCTAGCAATTTTGGAACACAGAGCAAACTCCATGAACCACGCCCTCAAATCATCTTTTTAACGCAAACCCATTGAGAGCAAGGTGAAGAGATACATGGGGCTTTCACTGCTGGCAAGACTGCCTCCGGGTAGGGAATAGGGACTAAAGGTGAGGCCAGGCTTGGAAGGAGTCATCTGGGGGTCCTGAGGGAGTGGCTATCATAGTCAAACTAATTATTCTTGCTAATTAGGTGCAAAGTTCCATTCTTTCTATCCCAAGGAAGGAGTTCAAATTCTGTCAGGGCCCTATACATTTTAGTGCCCTGGTCCATTCACTCTATACCCTAGTAACAACTCTACTTAAAAAGTCAAGTTACTTGAAGATTACAACAACTGTATTCTGAACTTTATCAATTCTATCCGACTTCCAACGTCACCACCCTACTAAAATTGCTCCCCACAGGTGATCCTGATTGTTAAATTTGACGGCCTTGTCTCAGACCTCATTTTAATCTCTCTAAAACTTCACCCAATGCTGGCTATCCCTCCTCCCTTCATTTTTGCCCTCCTGCTCTTTCCAGGTCTCCTTCTGTTGGCCACTCTTTCTACCTTGAGCTGGACTAGTTATGTGGCATCTCTGGCACTTACTGTGGGTGTGATCTAACCTTCCGTGGCCTCAGTTTCTTCCCCTGTAAAAGGAGGAGGCTGAGCCAGATAGCTTCCAAATTCTAGTTCAGTCCTACATCTATGATCCTATGACATAGTTTTCAAATCAAAAAGAGCATTGAAGCCAACATAGAAAACAGCAGTAACTCACATTTGTACAGGCTTTTTTTGTTTGTTTGTTTTGTTAGGCAATTGGAGTTAAGTAACTTACCCAGGGTCACATAGCTAGTAAGTGTCAAGTGTTTGGTCTGAGGCTGGATTTGAACTCAGGTCCTCCTAACTTCAGGGCCGGTGTTCTATCCACTGACCCACCTAGCTGCCCTTATGTAAAGGCCTTTCAATCTTACATTGGGCTATTTCCACACAAGCCCTCCTCCGCATCAGCTCCCTTCTTCGTTTTCCATTGGACATCTGCCATGTTTCTCAATAGAAGGTCAACCCTGAAGAGCAGGGATTGCCTCCATTCAATCTTTGCGTCCCCAGTTGCTGGCATTGTGCCTGGCACCAATATCTACCATGTGCCATTAAAAAAGGTTGAATTGAACTAAATTGGCCAAATCGTGTACTGCCAATGCACAAACCAACCGACGGGCCACTCACTGTGCTAGGTGCTGGGGTTACAAAAACCAAGCATGAAACAATTTCAAATTGCTTATGCCCTTAGACCTAGTAGAGAGCAGAGAAGAGAGTGCCAAAAAACAGCCCACTCAGAGTATTGGTCCTACTGACGGCCAGTCAGCAGGATAATTTTTGTTTTGGAAAGACTTTAAAAGATTTATCAAAATTTTTATTTTTCTCTCCCAATTTCTTACTGTATTAAGAAAATCCTACTTTAAAAAAAAAAAAAGAAAACCTTACCTGCCTTTCTATGTTGCCATTAGGGAAGGAGCTCTAGGGAGCTGGGCCCTCACCTATGAGGCTGATTTAGGGCTTGGATTCTAGTTCTGTTCTCACATCCTTCCCATACTCAAGGCACATGCTTATGAGCATCACTTGAGAATACCGGTTAGAAGAGCTTTTTGGAGAAACATGTCAATTTTCGTAAGAGCCAGGAGAGGCTCCCCAACAGCATTCAGTACCTTGGTTTTTCATTTGTAAATCTTCTACCAGATTTTGTAAACTTTCCAGTCTGTTTTGTAGCTTCCTACATGTTTTTCCAGTTGTTTCTACCGGTTGATTCTGAGAAACTAACAACAATAACAACAAAATTTAAGCATCAAATTAGAAGTGATCACAACAACTCCATTCATAGTCGATTGTTTTCCTTGGAAAGGACTTGATAAAGGGCCAGACATCTTTAAAGTACATGAACCCACTGGGCATGGTGGTGCGTGCCTGTGACCCTGCTCCTGAGGAGGCGGAGGCTGAGGCTGAAGGGTCTTTGAGCTCTAACGTTCTGAGCTGCAGTAGGCTAAGCCAACTGGGGGTCCACACTAAGTCTGGCATTAGTATGAGCCAGTGGGAGGGATGAGGCTGTCTGAGGAGCACCAAACCCAGCCAGGTTGGAAATGAGCAGGATAAAGCCTCCATGCTTATCAGGATCAGGCCTATGGGGTGAGACAGAAGCCCCTGTCTTAAAAACAAACAAATGAACCTTTCAAATATAAAGGAATACAAGTAAAAGCAAAGAAATGGGTTTTGTTGTTTAAAAAAATCCAATTCACCATTGTTTAACTATGGATGGCATGGGGTGGGGGGGGGAATATTCACAACTTAATATGAGACCCTTCACTGCAAATAAAAGTTTTTATGATCAAGCCTGAGTGAGCTGGACCCTTCCTTGTTGGGAGCTGTCCTGGCATAACTTAATGCCCGTTTTGTTAACACGTTTGTGTTGTATGACAGGCTTAGGGTCAGGAGGTGGGTGGTGCATGATGGTGGGAGGGTTGGAGGCTTGGCTTTCAGCCTCTGAACTGCAGGATGCCACCTGAATGGAGACAGCGCTGAGTGGAGATGGATGTGGAAATGGTAGGTACAGCCCACCACAATACAGTTGTGGCAAAAGCCAGAGAGGGCCAGAAACCAAAGCAGCCCTCTTCAACATGGATGCCAGACTTCATTAACCCCTAACAAATATTTGACCATTAAAGTGATGGCTCAGGCGACCACAGCTGGCTGGGCTCTCTCAAGGGTGGTTAGCACTCCACGTGAACCTCAATGTCTTTCTTGACAGGAGACTAGACAAGAGGAATAGGGTGCGTGTGCTGGGATTATCATTGACAGAGACACTAAGGAAAGGATTTGACAAGGATGTTCATTTTGAAAGGACACAGATGAGACGGTAATAGTTAGATACAGTTGGGACTCACGGATGTCAACTCAGGAAGTATTTTCTAGTGGAGTCTATGTCTGGCCGTGATTAACATTTTATAAAGGTCTTTAATAAAGACATAGAGAGCCTATTTATCAACTACGTGGAAGCAATAGAAGAAGAGATAATAGCTAACACACTGGATGATTCTCCTGGCTGTTTTCTACAGGCCCCCATGACATTCTCCTTTTTCTCCTTTTCATTCCTCTTTCTTTCTCAAAGAAGTCAATGCCTGGCTCACAGTCTCCCTTTACACACCAATTCCTGTCCACATATGAGGCAACTTAAATGTATATTTTTTTGTTCCCTCAAATCGTCTCACTTCCAAGGTCCTCAGTCTACTGAACCCCAAGAATGTACTGCCACCCAAGCCACACAGAGGGATGGCCACGTACTTAATCCCACCATCACTACAAGTGGTCACCTTCCATGATATGTCTTTATCAGATCATCATCTCCTATCATTCCATTTCTCCCCATGCCATACTCCTCCTAAGCCCATTTTTCACCTTCAGCATGGACTCCAGAATCTGTCCATTCCCTAGTTCTTTCCTACATAAAACTCCACCCCCAGTTTCTCTCCTGACCCCCAGCTCCACATCACCAACTGCCTATTGGACATTTCTAATTGTAGGCATCTCAAACAACATGTCAATAATAGAATTCATTATTTTTTTCCCCAGAACGTACTCCTCTTCCAAACTTATCTAGTGCCACTGAGGATACCAGCATCCTTCCAGTCTTCCAGGTTTATAACCTTGGTGTCTTCCTTAATCCTTCACTCTCACTCACTACCTATCTCAGAGATTGTCCAATCTTGGTTCTGTCTCCACAGTATCTCTCACGTATACCCCCTTCCCTCGCCTCACACAGCTATGACTCCAATTCAGGCCCTCAACAAAGCTCACCTAGATGGTTTCAATGGCCTCCGTGTTGAATTCCCTCCCTCAGATCTCTACCCACTTTGATCCATCCTCCACACCACTACTAGGCACCAAATCAGACTGGTTTTCTTTCCTTCCTTCCTTTTCTTTCTTTCTCTTTCCTTCCTCTTTTTTCTTTGTACATGGTTCCTATACGGGTAGATGAGGGGAATGCCCAGAGTCGGGAGATGAAGTTTCTTGTTCAGGGAACAGCTTGGATGCATGTATCATTGGACCATCGAATCCACAGAAGGTAGGAAGGAAGGAAGGAAGGAAGGAAGAAGAAGACTGGGAAGGTAGAAGGGGGCGAGGCTATGAAGGGCTTTAAAAGCCAAAGAGAAGATTTTACATTTGATTCTGACAGTGGGAAGGAGTCCTGGAGCTTATTGAATGGTGGGAGTGACATGATCAGACCTATGCCTTAGGACGGCTGACAGGAGGGTGGACCAGAGTGGGGACAGATCTGTCTGTGGTGGGGAGACATAACAGCCACTACTGCTGTGGTCCAGGTATGAGGGCCAGGGCCATGGCAGCGTCAAAGGAGAGAAGAGGGCACATGTGAGAAAGAACACGAAGGGAGAATCGACAGGAACTGGCCACTACAGGCAGACCTCGTCATACTGCGCTTCACAGATATTGAGTTTTTCACAGACTGAAGGCTCGTGACCACCCTGCATGGAACAAGTCAATCGGCACCATTTTTCCAGCAGCATGTGCTCACATCATGTCTCCGTGCCACATTTCGGTCATTCTCGTAACATTTCAAGCTTTTTCATCATTATTACATCTGTGACGGTGATCTGTGATCAGTGATCTTTGACAGTTCTATTGTAATCATTTTGAGGCACCATGCACCACACCCATATAAAATGGTGAACACTGCTCCACCAAGCAGCTGTGCCCACCCCTCTCCCTCTCCTCAGGCCTCCCAATTGCCTGAGACAACAATATTGAAATTAGGCCAATTAATAACCCTACCATAGCCTCTAAGTGTTCAAATGAAAGGAAGGGTCAATTGATGCAGCAAACTTCATTGTTGCCTTATTTTAAGAAGCCTTCAGCAGCCAGCAGTATGGAAGAAGGACCCTTCACCAGCAAAAAGATTCCAACTTGCCCAAGGCTCAGATGATGGTTAATGATTTTAGCAATAAAGCATTTTTAATTAAGGTCTGGACATTGTCTTTTAGATACAATACTGTGCAGCAGCACAGTTAATAGATTACACTTTTATATGCACTGTGAAACCAAAAAAATTCATGTGACTCGTTTTGCTGAAATATTTGTTTTATTGTGGGGTCCTGGAACCAAACCCACAATATCTCCAAGGTATGCCTGTAATTCAGTATGAGAGGAGGCGAGAGATAATGAGTAATTGAGGCTGACACCCAAGTGTCACCTGACTGACTCAAAATGGTGGTGATACTTTCAATAGGGAAGTTAGGAAGAGGGAAGGGTCGGGGAGGGGAGCCGATAATGAGTTCAGTTTTACACACGTTGAATTGAAGATATTTACAGGACATCTAGTTCACAATGTCCCATAGGCAACTGAAGAAGAGAGACTTGAAAGTCAAGAGAGGGGTTAGAGCTGGATAAATAGATCTGAGAACCATCTTCATAGAAATGAAAAAAGACGAGGAGAGGCGAAGAAGGAAGAAACAGGAAAACATTCAGAGTGGTGAAGTGGCTAGATCTTGATTTTGGCCTTCTTTTACTTTTAGATTTCATACATGACCTGGTAATTAAAGAATGAGAACCTTTGACAAAATTGTATAATAAATCACTATGACACAATGTGCCAAGATTTACAAAGTATCTGTGCAATAGAAATTTGTATATTTGCAAGAACTAGGGCTGAAGGACAATGAATTCAAAAGGATAGCAAAAAATATTTAAATCTAAAAGAAAAAATCTAAACTATTGATTTATGGGGAAAATAGCAAATCATCTGGTGAATATATGTACGTTACAGACTATCCTGCTTTAAAAAAAGAGAGAGAGAGAAAGGAAACAAAAACAAAAACACTCTCATGAAATCACAGAGGACCAGTTAGAGTGTGTTTTAAATGGTTATTTTGCTTACTAAGGCTAAGACCATATGAGATCCCTGTGGGAAAATATTAAGACATTAACAATAATAGAAAGAAATCAGCAAGGTCTCTCAACTGCATTGGGGCGCCCATACCTTTAACGTCAGATGTATGGGTATGTTTGTAGTCTGACTTGGAAGACAGAGAATCTTCGGCTGAGCTGGTCAAGAGGGGGTGCGCTGGAGTCCTCTCTGGGTTCTTTGGCTCCTGGGAGAACTTTTTAGGGGAAGTACCAAAGCGGCTCCCACCAGCTGTAACTGAAGGACTTACTACAACACAGATAAAATAGGAACCCATGAGCTCGATGAAGCATACTGGCTTTAAAAACAAGCCTTTATCATCTTCTAGACACCATTTTTCCTTCTTCTGCATGGCCTTTTCCTTTTTTCACATTCCATTTCTCAGACTCATTCACTAACAGCAACCACAGAACACCAAGAATATGGCACCCACAGCATCTCTGAGTACAGGCTGGTGTTTCTGCTCTTTTCCAGTGTGTTCTCAGCAGACTGAGAAAAGCCCAGTGCACCTCACCGGAAATTGTTTTTGTTGTAGTTGTTGTTGAGCCATTTCTTTGTGACCCGTTGGCAAAGATACTGCAGTGGTTTGCCATTTCCTTCTCCAGCTCATTTTATAGATGAGGAACTGAGGCAAACAGAGCCAAGTGACTTGCCCAGGGTCACACAGCTAATAAGTGTTTGAGGTCGGATTTGAACTCAGGAAGATAAGTCTTCCTGATTCCAAGCCCAGTACGTTATGTACCATGATGCCACCTAGCTGTCCCTATTGAATCTTTGTAGCTGAGGACTGCACAGCCCATATAACATACAGCCCTAATTGTTACTTATTAATATGTAATTTATTAGTTTATAAGATTGTTTCCTCACAACAAAATTTTGAGCTCAGAGTGCAAGATGACAATATCACTTTTGATTCAAAAACACTAAGTGAAAAGAGAGGCAGCTAGGTGGCGCCATAGTGCACAGAGTGCTGGGGCTGGAGTCAGGAAGACTCATCTTCCTTACGTTAAAGCCGGCCTCAGACACTGTGTGACAGCTGTGTGCATTTGAGCAAGTCATTTAACCTTGTTTACCTCAGTTTCCTCGTCTGTAAAATAAGCTGGAGAAGGAAGTGGCAAACCTTTTCTAAGAAAATCCCAAGTGGGGTCACAAAGAGTCAGGCATGACTGAAACCAGTGAACAACAATAACAAAGTGAAAAGATTTGTACTTGATGCTGGACGGGCCTGTCTCCTTTGATGACACCAGGGACCATCTCATATCCTGCTGAAATGACAGCATTTGCTTATTATACCCATTGTATATGCCTAATACTCCACTGTGATCCTATCTATGAAGTGTCTGGAACAAAGTTTCCAAACATTTTCTGAATGTTTCTGATGTACTTTTATTTAAAATTTTTTTTTATTATGAATTTGGTATATCCATCACCCAACATGAATATTTCAATACATGAAGAACAGAAAAAAAGATGATTGTATATGAAATTGTGAACTAACGTGATGTACATTTCTTAACGAGCATGCCCCACTGGAAAGCACTGAAAACGACAGGGCCATTCACCTGTTAAGGTTCCTGTTTCCCTCGGCCCAGCCCTGCCCCGTGCTGCTGTGACCTCTCTGAGCTTCCTGCACTCTCTTCTGAGTGTCATTTGATGAATTTCTTGACGCTCTTCCGTTCCCCTTCTTTTTCCTTGAATTAATATTAGCCCAGCCCAATCCCCCAAAGAAGCCGTAACAAATAACCATAATTACACGAAATAAATGCAGACATTGGCAGTGTCTGGAAAGGCACGTTTCTCCCTCCTCTAGTTGAACAATTCTCTGCTAAGAAGTGGGGAGATTCGACAGCTGTCTGAAGTCATGACTGAGTTTCACACTGCTCAGTTCCTAAATCTTTCAAAGTAGTTTTCCTTCACACTGTTGTTGTTATATAAATTGCTCTCCTAATTCTGCTCATTTCTCTCTGCATTAATTCACGTACAAGTCTTTCCACATTTCTCAGAATCCATCTTTTTAATAATTTCCTTGGTGCAATAATAGTCCATGTGGTATGCATATATCATAATTTGTTCAGCCATTCCCCAAAGGATTAGCACAAACTCTCTTTCTACTTCTTTGCCACAACAGAAGTTCTGTGATTAATATTTTTAAAATATGACCAAATTTTTCCTTCAGTCTTTGACTGCTCTGGGGTATATGGCACGTAGGAGTAGCACTGGGTCAGAAGAGGTGGCATTTAGTTGTATTTTGGTTATAAATCCTATAATTAGGTAGGTGGACTCCTAAATACTTTATACATTTCATTGTTAGTGTGAATGGTATTTCTTTTCTATTTCTTCCTTTTCGGTTTTGTTTGTAGTTTATAAAAAGGCTGATGACTTTTGTTAGTTGATTTTATGTTCAGCTACTTTGCTGAGTTACTGTTTCAATTAATTTTAGTTAGATATTCAGGGTTCCATAAGTAAGCCATTTTATCAGCTGCAAAAATTTTAATTTTGTTTCTTTTTTGCCTATGATATTATCTCAGTTTTTGATCTTGTCATAACATGATAGCGAGCACTTTCAGAACTGTATCAAACAATGGTGATGGCAAAATATCCTTCCTTTACCCCAATCTTAACGGGAGGGGCCTCTAGCACTTCTCCATCACAGATAATGCTAGCTTTGGTTTTAGATAGAAACTGTTCAACTTATTCAGGAAAGGTCCATAGGTTCTACTTTGTCAAAGGCTTTTTCTGCATCTATCTTTTGTAGTTAATGAAGAAAATAGTCCTAAATTATTTGAATAATTGATCTTAAACTATTCTTGCAATTGTGATTCTATAGTCATGTAATTCTACTCTTTTTCATTCTAACAAAATGATTTTTTTAGCATCTAAACAAACCTATAATTGAACAATTGTTTATTATATTTGGGCTACGCTGGTGAGGCATATGTGATTTTATCAGGCATGAATATAATGTCACTAAAGTGTATTTTTAAAGAACTTAATGTATGTACGTGCTTAATTCAAAATAAGTGAGTAGATATAACCTCTAAATAATGCTTCCAGTTTATATAAAAGATACAATCCTTTGTTTGGTTTTGCTTTTTGGTGAGGCAATTGGGGTTACGTGATTTTCCCAGGGTCATATAGCTAGTAAATGTCAAGCATCTGAGGCCGGATTTGAACTCAGGTCCTCCTGACTTCAGGGCTGGTGCTCTATCTACTGCACCAGCTACCTGCTCCATGGTCATCGTTTTAAAAGACGTCAAACACATACGTGTACTCCTTTCCAGCCCTATTCCATAATCACAAGAGATCTACCTATTAAACTTTAATAAAATTCTGTATCTTTTAGGTGGTCAGATGATTCTTGGATTTTCTCCAAAAGCCTTATTTTTTAGGTCAGCTGTTTTAATAAGAAATATCTTTACCTATATGTACAAAATATTTATAGCAGCCCTTTTCTTGGGGTAAAGAATTAGAAATGGAAGAAATTCCCATCAGCTGGGTATTGTAGTATGTGATTATGATGGAATACTACTATACTATAAGAAATGACAAGCAGGATGCTCTCAGAAAAACCTGGAAAGACTTCCATGGGCTGATGCAAAGTGAAATGTATTATATACAAAGTAATAGCAATATTGTAAGACGATCAGCTGTGAATGATTTGGCTATTCTCAGCAATACAGTGATGGAAGACAATTCTGAAGGACTTATGATGAAAAATGCTACCCATCCCCAGAGAAAGATGGTGTCTGAATATGGATTGAAGCATACATTTTAAAAATCTTACTTTATTTTTTGAGGGGTTTTTTTTGTCTGTTTTCTTTCACAACATGACTATTATGGATGTTTCACATGACTACACATGTATAACCTACATCGAATTGCTTGCCTTCTCAATATGGGGTGACATAGGGAGGGAGGAAGGGAGAGAATTTGGAACTCAAGGTTTTAAAAATGAATGTTAAAATTGTTTTTATATGTAACTGGGAAAAATAAAATAAAAAAGAAAAAAAGAAATATCTTGTACATTCTTTTTCAGTCTTTTGATTTTGCTCTAGTGTTTGTGGTCTCAAGGAGTTATGAATTCTCTCTGGTCCATTCTAGGTTTTTAGGGAAGCTGCTACCTGTGATACTTTCTACCACTTGTACTAAGCTTGTTATTCTCCCTCCCAGTCTTTTCTCTGGAATCTCCTTCCTTCTCCCTTTCTTTCCTCTAACACTCTCATTTAATTGATTAACAAAACTGACTCTAGCTTCATTTATTCCAGGAATTCTTGGTGACATCATGACCACACTGGGCTTTTGTATGATGTACTGATTGTAGATGTTGTACAGTTATTTTCCTCTTCTGGATTCATGTCTTAGGAATTCCTGGATTCATGTTTCTTTAACACTGTTGCCAAGTCCAGGCTCTTTGCACTTCTGGAGGGAGGGCAGGACCTTATTTAGTACTCACCTCTATTTTCCGGGGTCCACTCACTGCTTCTTAAACATGCTGTATATCATGTTTTTCAAGCCACTACAGGAGTGGCATAGTCTGGTAGCTATAGATTTTCAGCACCCTAAGTGGTCTGTCCTAAGTCATGGTCATATGTCTGTCCTCCCAATCTGAGCTTTGTAGGCTCCTAACCATGGTTTGAGGCTTGGGTAATACAGATGCCAGATGAATTCTGGCTGGAGCTGCTGACCCCAACATAAAGGTGTAGAAGGGTCAACTGGTTCAAAATGATAGACCTATAAGCTTGACTTGGCCAGTACTCTCTGCCCCTGGCTACCACAGTACAGAGCTTTCAGCTGTACTTTTTCACCTTCTGTTCTAAGCTAGGTATCCTTCTTTCAACTTTTTTTCCAGATCTTAATTTCTTTTTATCTTTAGCTTTATTTTTTCTAGCCACTCCCGAGTTCATGGGGCCATACCTTTTTTTTTTTCCTGAGGCCCTCCTTGTATTTATTCAGAAGCTTGTCTTATTCTGGGTTTGTTTATTGGCTTCTCTTTACCCACAACAGTTCATTCTAGTTGGAGTCGTCTTCATTCCAGGATTTGGACTTTGCACAGAAGCACTCTTCAATGGGGACAGGCCCTTTTCCTGCCTCCTGGCAGACCCTGGGAGGGCCCCGGTCTCATCTCTACCTCTTAGATCCACTAGCCTGCCTGCTAAGCGACTTATACGGGGGGGAACCATTGTGGTTCCCTGCTGTGGCTCTGACGGGCATGGTCAGAATGCTACTGGCCATCATCCCTGACAAACCAGAGTTTGTGCTTTGTGCAGGCCCGACCTGCATGGATGAGCTCACTGGTGTCTCCCTTCGTTTTTCACTAATCATTGCTTCATTCAGAACCCTCTTCATTCTCTGCAGGGGATTTCCTTGGGAGTGCAAGAAATAGAGCATGAGCGTTCCTGCCACCATGTCTTATTTAAAGAAAATGTCTTAGTTAAAATATACACACAACATGCTGTCAGGAAACTTAGCTTTGTTTCTGAACCAATGCCACTGCCTGAGGGAAAATGTTTTGTAGGACTTTTCATGACCAGCATTTGTCTGTCACTGCTTTTCGTAGCTAACCTCAGACTGCTGTTCAGGGCATAGATCTGAAAAAAAAATTCATACTCTGCCAGCTCAATGATTATGTGTGTGTGTGTGTATATATACACAACACATATGTCACATATATGTATACATATATGCACACATGTACATGTATAATCATATACATACACATGTGTGTCTATACATACGTATAGATATTGATACAGATACACAGAAACAGATTACCTTTCTGCTTTGACTCATTCTGTCTCAGGCTGCCAGTGGCCCCTCTAGCATCACTTAAGGTAGCCCTTGGGACCAAAGATGCTGCCTGCACCAGGGTCTTGAGCTTCCTTCACAGAACACGTCCTCCTCTTCCTCGATGTGAGATGGGCATGGTCACTGATTTTCATCTTAGACATCACAGCACATAGAAGTGTGAAGTGTGTTGGGTTTGGAATGCAAGGAGGAGGGATTCGAATCTAGGCTCTGTCACTGACCATGTCCGAGTGACCCAAGACAAGTCACTTAACCTCTGGGCCTCGATTCCCTCATTTAGAAAATAAGGGCATTGGAAAAGACGACCTTTAAGGTTTTCCCACTCTATAACTGTGGGCCTAGGAATGCTAGTGCACTAGAGACTTATCTTCTTTATTTTTAATCGGATTAGCTTCCAACACCCTTCAGCTTCCCTTCTGCACTGGCAGCTAAGCACCTCTAAAGGGTGTCTTGCCTACAACCGTCCTCAAAACGGAGCATTTTAGAAAACATTCACCAGCGTGTTCTGGGCAGAGTTGTAGGACATCTGCAGCAACTGGGCTATCCAGACATATTGGAAGAGATTCTTTGCCATTTTGCAATTAAGTTTTCCACTTTGCTTTTGTAGGTGTTTAGGTTTTGAAGGGCTGCTTGTACTTGGCCTTACAAACAAATCTTTCTTGCTTTTTAAAGACAGGTTTTTATGGATATTTCTCGTTTTCCTATCACTTCGATTTCTCCTATCTCCTTGCCTCCCAGAGAGACACGCCTTGAGAAAAAAGAAAGGAAATCAATAAAACCAATCAGCACATTGAAGATGTGTTCCACACCTGGGGATTCCCTCCTCCTCCGTAGCGCCTGCTCGTGCTGAATTGTCTAGGAGCACTCATCGTCTGGGGGGTGTGTGTGTGTGTGTGTGTGTGTGTGTATGTGTGTGTGTGTGTGTGTGTGTGTGTATGTGTGTGGCGGGGGCAGGGGAGGCTCTTTCCATTTGTTGTTGTAACGCAGGCATTTTAGCTACTGTCTTCTTGGCTCTGCTTCTTTGACTTTGCAAAGGTTTACAGAAGTCTTCCAGGGCTTCTCTGAATTCATCCTATCCATCACTCCTTACCGCCTCCTCACATTCTGTTACGTTCAGGGACCAGGATTTCCAACACAGGGAGAAAGGCTACTTTGTTGCTGGTTCTCAGCTGTGCTGCTGTGAATGTTTCAGTATAAATGGAGACTTGCCTTTGCTCACTGACTTCCTTGGGGGGCCGCCTAAGGGAAATCTCTAGGTCAAAGCATGTCTACATTGTAGCCACTTTATTTGCATAATCCCAAATTGCTTTCAAAAACAGTTTTCACCAGTTCCCAGTTCCACCAACAATGTATTAGTGTTTCTTGTCCCTCCTCTTCTTGCCCCAATCATTAACTATTCTTGTCTTTTTGTTATACTTTGACAATTTTCTGGGTATGAGGTGAAATCTCAGGGTTATTCTGAAACTTTACTTATTGCATTATACATCTTTTACGTCATCCAGTGCTAGTTTATGCTTACTTCCATAAGTCAAAAAACTCCTGAAAACCCACTTGCTGAGAATGCAACATTATCTATATAAAATATTTGTGTATAGTTTTTGGACAGAATTGTCCAAATTGTCTCTCCCTCTCCCTCCCTCCCTCCCTCCCTCCCTCCCTCCCTCCCTCTCTCTCTCTCTCTCTCTCTCTCTCTCTTCTCTCTCTCTCTCTCTCTCTCTCTCTCTGTCACTCTCTGTCTCTCTCCCTCCCTCCCTCCTTTCCCCCCACCTTTTCATCCATCGCAGAAATCATTGTTTGGCAATCAGGTCAGGACTGTTGCAAGCACAAGCTGGCTATCCACCTGTTGGGGCATTTTGCAGGGAGTTTGGGGAGTGCAGCCTGCCTCATATTTAACAACCCTTGTGACTCCACAATTCTATCATGAAGAGAGGCTGCATCATGTAGTGGACAGAGGGCTGGCCTCAGAACCTGAAAGCCCTGGATTCCAGTCATGCCTCTGATAGTTACATCCTGCTGTGGGACCCTGGACCTGGCTGTTAATCTCAGTGTGGTAGGCACTTTCTAAGACCTGCACTGGCAAAAAGACTTTTCAGACCTAGGAATTCCCTGTGCCAGTGAAATCACAGGTCCAATCTTTAGTGGCAGCTCAATACAGTTCTCAATAAACATTACTTAGAATGAACCCGCAACTAAGTGTTGCATCAAACGAGGAGTGTGCAATGAAGAGACGTAGGCCAGACAGGTCAGTGAAAGACGGAGCCATTTAGTATTCGGAGGGTCTGGGTTATATAGTGAAAGCTAACAAGCATCCCTGAGGCGTGCCCGTCATTCTTACCTAATCCCAGCCTTTATGCACATCCTTAATTGTTCATACCTGCTTGCCATCAAGGTTCAAGAGGCAGAGTATTCTATTACCTTCCAGGCACGGGAAATTGGTGAGCCAAATATTCTGAATAATTCAGCCCTTATGGGTAGGAAAAGGAAAGAGTCAAACTCTAACCTAAAGTCCTTATCCCGTATTAGACCCTTCAGCTCTGGCCCTCAACACCATCCCTATTTGGTTTAATAAAAATGAAGGAAACACATTTTTTTTCCCGACTATAAGTCAAACTATTTCCTTAAATTGTTTGTTTCCAAGCATCTTTTACTGGTCATTGCTTCATGACTCTGGCACTGTGCCTTAATTATCTTTGCATGTTTCCTAACACATATCACGATGCTTCCAATAATTAAATGTCTGTTGCGTTTGTTGAACTGAACTCTCGATTTGGCCTACTGATAGCAATTGATCTTCAGTTTTGTTAAAAGGTGTAAAGACTTCGATATAAGTTAGAGCAGGTGCACGTACAAATGAACAACTTTCAAAAAATACTTTTGAATGTTGATCCCTCTCTCAAATTTTAAATTTAAATCATTCTAAGTAATGTTTATTGAGAACTGTATTGAACTGCTATCTATAGAAGAGATGCTAAATAAGAGAAAATATTTCATCATTACAATTTTTAGTGATTATTTAGAAATCAACTAGAGCAAAATAAGTATCTTGAATGAAAATAGATTTTAATAACTTCTGAGTAAATTTGACCTCAGATAGCCTTATGAGGGAACTTTGTACTAAAGGACCTCTAAATATTTATGAAGCACATAAAAAATGTACAAGGAAGAGAACAAAATCTCTCCCTCTTCTTTCTGCTAAAGTCTCTGGCTGACTAAGATGCCAACCAGCACCTGACTGGTCAGTGCTAGCTTTAATTGACTGGCTTATTCAGCCCCATGAGATGGGGGTGAAGAAGACTGGATGGGGTCCCCTCTCTAACACAAGAAGGTCCTAGGCTGCAGTCTGAAGACCCAACGTGTGTGTCCCTGTTCTGGAAAATGCCTGGGTAACAGCGCATGCAACACAGTCCTTGGACTGTGATTTGGTATCTATCATACCATGTCTTAAGTAACTAGCGAGCAGGGATAAGTGTGGGTGGAGGGACTTCTGAGCTCCATGTATCCTGCAAATGGCCCAGTATACTTATGGTCTTAACCTAACTGAATGTTTTTTGTTTGTTTATTTTTCATCAATAGAACACATTTATTGTTTTCAGTAAATAATATGAAACAAAATGCAGGGCTCAATTGAATATATCCAATAATAAACAAAGTAATTGGGTCAAATGGTCTGCAGAACATCTGATAAGTCGTGTTTGTAAAATACTCTCATAAGCAAGTAACATACCAAGGTTATAGAATTAATGAAATTGTGTTAAGATAATACACTTGGGTTTTTTGATCAGTGGACTAAATTTTAAAATTAAAAAAAATCCATGTCCTCAGATCCTGTCCATGGTCTATAAATACCCATTGAAAACTTACCACTGGCTGGAAAACCGAAGGTATTGGTTTTATCCTCCAGATCTCCGGCATGTAAAGTTACAGGATCTCTGGAAGCAAAAGAATGATAATAATAATGATAATAATGATAACTGACATTCATTGTACAAGTACAACACTAAGATTAATAGGAGCAAATCCAAAGGAACCAAAGTGATCAGTGACATCGGAACGGAGAAATGGCAGACGCCACCAAAGCAGAAAGCTGCCATTTCCTAGCAGACGCTGCCTGGGCAATTCTTCGCCATGATCTTTTCCTGGCGCTCAGTACCCACATCATTTTTATGAAAGGTAACAAATAATACTGTGAAACCTAGACAACATATTCTTGGGGGGAAAGAGTTGTTTCAATACAGTCATCTTTACATATTTCTGTGAGATAAGATTTTAGGTTAGGAGGCTTAATTTAAAGAAATAATTATAAGGACAAAAGGTAAAAAAAAAATTAAGTAAATGGAATTCCCAAAGATCTATGACCACGAACTAAGAGACTTAGATAATAAAAGGAATAAATCACAAAATCCTTTAAATCCATTCGGTATTTCACAAGGTTTTTATTTTTAAGCCTTTGAACATGGATTAAACTAATAAAATAAATAAACAAACAAATAAATAAAACCTGATAAATAGGTTTTAAAAGCTAAATTCGACACTACCAGCATTTACTGCAAATTCATTGCAAAATAATAGAAAGTATCAGATAATTCCTAATAGTATTAACCCAAATCTACAAATTAATAGCAATTTCTTTCAAATGATTGTCTAGCATATAATTTTTAAAAAATATATTATTATGAAACTAAGCAACTTAACAACAACCACAAGAATTCCCTGAACATTCGACTCTATTCAATTCACTCCAAATTCTCTTCCAATCTTTGCTAACGTGCAAGTGGAATGTGCACTGGGCTGAAGTCAGATGATCAGACTTCTAAACCCACTTCCTACCCATGTCACCAAGGATAAGGCACTTCATGTCTCTCAGCTGCCTTTCCTTATCTGCAAAAGGAGATAATATTTGCACAGGCTTGTTGTGAAGAAGGCATGTGATAGATGTGTGATTTGTCCATTCATATACGTAGATCCTATGAAGTTGTGTGACATCAGCATGTCCAAATGGTCTACGGTTTGGTGTTTTTCACATAGAGTATGTTTGTGAATAAATTTGGGTCCTTGGATAAACTTTATGCTGATCACTGACAGAATAGCCTCACTGACTTTAGAAAGGATCATCACCTGGTTGGAGACAGTGAGATGAATTGTTAGGACACAGCAACATCCAGAAATCTTCTACTAAGACACAGAGGAATTATGATCTAGCTATCAGAGGTTCCCAAACTTATTTGCCTACCGACCCCTTGTCAAAAAAAAAATTACTCAGCTCCCCCCTGGAAATCTACTTTCTTTAACCCTTTAATGTTTGTTTGTTTGTTTTTAAACGTGTGTCATTTTAAAAAAATACCACCCCCTGATACGTTCGAGCACCCCCCAGAGGTTGGTATCACCCATTATGGGAACCTATGATGGAGGAATTAATACATACACTGACCAAATCAAATATGTATACTTGAACTATGTGGCTATATATACATGGCTACACACATACATGTTTAATTATTTGACTCACCTGAAGTTCATTGCAATACATAATACATAATACAGTAAGGTATGGATCCAAGTAAAATCCTTCATTCTTATGGCCAAGTTTCCCTACACCATTTTTAAAATAGTGATGTTCATGTGCGTTGTTGTGTTAATTTTAGTTAGTTATATGTTCATTTCTGATACTAGTCTGAATATATTTCTAGAATTACTATTAGATTCCATTGATTTTTAAAAAACTAATACTATATGTATCTAAAACCCTCAGACTGTTGCTTTGTGGTATGTTTTAAAGTCTGATATGTTTTGTGTGTCGTTAATATTTTCCCCACTTATTTTTCCAGATTTATTATCAGTTTGTTAAGTTTATTAAAAATGATGCTATATTTTATCTAAATGGATGGCTCCTTATGGTTAAATTTCTTCGTTTCTGGCTTTCCACATTAACACTGCCTGGTCTAGCAGTCTACAATGACCTACATTGCTTGTAGATAGAATAACAAGACAGAATGATAAGACAGAGTCTCCACAGCCAAAGAGTAAAGGGTAGAGTTGCCATCAGGATGATTCTGGCAGATAGACAGACAGACAGACAGACAGACAGACAGACAGACAGACAGACAGATAGATAGATAATAGATAGATAAATAGATAGATAGATAGATGGATGGATAAATGGATAAATAAATAAATAAATGATCTACTTACACCTGCATTACTAATTGCCCTCTTTGCTTCTCAGTGTGAAAAGTCGGGCTGCAAAAGGAGGCTGGCCACTCATTTAAAGAGAGAACTGCGCTGACCCCCCCCCCCCAGCAGTGGGAAAAGCCGTGAATGACTCTGGGACAGAGGAGATCCTCCACAGAGGATCTGGGGAAGGACCCAGACAGGAATCTCCCAGCAGGCGGGGCCACGCAAAGGTTTCAATCTGCACTGATGAGACTGTGGATCCGGTGAAACAAACAAACAGCTAAAGATAGGGTAGCACTTCCCTCCTGGTTTAGGGTGCACACCATTTTGGAAGAGAGAGCTCTGTGAAGGATCTGTCTTCCTTCCTTCCTTTGTAATGAAAGCCGGCTATGGGAAGGGACCTGAGCTTAGGGCTGGGTGGACAAAATGTGACTCACTGGATCACCTGACCACCTTAATACAAACACATTTTCCTGTTGCCCTATGAGGGCTTTAAATACCTCACATCTCACAGAGCCACACAGCATCACTAGGAGGGACTTCACTCCTCCATCCTCCTCATCTCAGCTCAGTCATCCTCACAACACCGTTACAGGACCAGAAGCACAGGAATCCATCAATCTACAGACATAACTAGATTCTTCAAACGTGTAAACGTGATTGCCTCTACCCAGTGATCCTTTATCAAGTGTGAACTCCTGTCTCACTGGCTCAGGAAAGGAGCAGCTGACTTGGGAGCCAAAGAAGCCATCGATGTTCTGGGGCTTAAAGAGAGGGAGACATGTCTGTGTCCTTCAGACAAGCAGAAGAGCGACCAGAGGTAGTGGCTTTCAGGTCCAAGGATCCTGGCAAGGCCCCTGGGAGTGAACTACTGAGAGGGGAAGACAAGAAGAGGGTTCTGTCTTCTTCCTCCTCTATTTTCCTGTTAGAGAGACTGGCCCTGGAGCAGACAGAGGGCATCCAACCCTGGGACTTACCCCAGACCAACGTGGACACACACAGACACAGAAGAAGCTCCAAGGAATGTCACTTGTTGCTCTGGATTAAAAAAAGGCCTGCGCCTGACCTGAGAAAGGCCTTCTTCCAATCACCAGAAGCGGTGAATCAGCCCTGTGGTCAGAAAGCTCTCTGTACTGCCACCGCAGCTGAATTTTTAAGCATATTCATTTTCCAGGTGCTGGGTGCATTTGTGGGAACGTGTAACCAGACCTTTGCGGGGAGGTTTTGTTTGTTGCTGTTTTTCAGCTGTTTCAGTGTCCAACTCTTTGTGACTCCATTTGGGGTTTTCTTGGCAGAGATACTGGAATGCCTTGCCATTTTCTTTTCTAGTTCATATTACAGATGAGGAAATTGAGGCCAACAAGGTTAAGTGACTTGTCCAGGATCACACAGCTAGTAAGTGTCTTAGGCCAGATTTGAACTCAGGAAGATGAGTCTTCCTGACTTCAGGCCCGCCACTCTACCTACTGTGCCACTTAACCAACAGTGATGTTTTGTACCAACTCTTTAACTATACTTTCTCAACAAATACAACTTTCAAAAAGCTAATGGAAGCCTGGCTGATTAGTATTAATGGTTAAGCATATCAGTCAGTCAGCCCTGAGAGTAGTGACCCAGCTTAGTCCCCAGAGGGGCACTACAGCAGCCAGGGATATTTTAACAAAATAAAGTACTTTGAAATTCAAGGAAATGTTGGGTAGGAGCCCTTCTTACCTGCTGTAAGTTTCACTCCACCTATTGCTTTCAGTGCCTTCTCTGCCTGAACTGCTTCTGTCAATAGAGGGGCCAGGAAGGGATAAAGGGAGACAAGGAAACAAAACAGCATTTCCTCCAGGGTTTGTGCGACAATTCGTTCAAATAAGATTGAGTGGAGAACAATGAAACATTACCACTGTAGGGGGACCCACACTCACTTAACAGAACACCCCCTCGGTCTGTATTCAATCTTCTCTCTCTTTAGCCAAAGTCACCTACTATAAATTTGTAGGATACTGATCTGGAATAGATTTCTCATTTTTCGATGACATTTCTAGGTGACCTACCTCATTATTTCCTTTAGCTATTGATGAAACATGAAGATGATTTGGGATTCACATAAGGGAAAACTTCCTAATAATGAGAAAAACTAGGTTCTAATTAATGGGAATAGTAAATCCCACAAAGTGATTGCATGTATTCAAACTATACTATTTATAGTTATAATTATTTAAAATATAGTCATTGGTTCCGATCCAATGGAAATATACAATGCGAATTTGAATAATTTAATTCCACCACTTTCTGGGACTTGCACTAACCAGGACCTAGCTCTATCTAAGAGTGGACTGGACTGGACTGGACCGGACTGGACTATCTTGGGATGAACACAAGTTTGAAGGTAATAGAGGAGATTCTTGACCACATATGAGTCAAATGAAGTCCTTTCCGATTATGACATTCTGACGCAAGGAAGTGTTTTAATGCCTCATTACCTTAGCCTTGTTTTGAGGATGCTCAGGCTTAGTTCACCTTGCAAGCACAAATAAACATGTGGAAAGATCCTCCTCTACTGAATCTGCTCTCTCCAAGTTCACTGATGATAAAACCCTGTCACCAAGGTCAGTGACCTTTGTTCAATCTTCGTCCTCTCAATTCTAGAGCCTTCTCGACATTGATATCTCGTTTATCCTGTACGTATCTCGTTGGTATCTTGCTTTTTGCAGAGACTGTGAGCTGGTTGAGGGTAGGGCTGTCTTTTGTTTTTCTTTATATCCCCAGCACTTATCACAGCACCTGGCGCACAGCAGACGCTTCATAAACATTTACTAACTGACTGGAGCAGATGGCACCGATGACCATCCACTCACTCCTCCTTGATGACATCTTTCCTTCGAGGTTTCTACGACGCTGACCTATATACCATTTCTCTTCCTATTTCTCTTACGGCATCTTTCGTCTCATTTTCTTCTTCCTATTCCCTTAAACGTGGGTGTTTCTGAGGTTCTCGCCTCTCCCCTTTTTTTCCTTTTCTCCTCAGACGCTATTCTTGGAGGATCCTATAGTTCCAATCATCAAAACTATGTGGATGTCTCCCCCTGACTAACCATAGTTTCCCCATCTTGAACTTGAATTTTGGTTTAGGAAGCCAAGTGTACTGTGACATATTTATTTGGGATGGCCCGCCCTAGCCTTTTCAATAAAATACTTCTTTGGGCTTGTCAAAGGAAGGCCAACAGTTGTCAAGTCAGTCAGTTTCTCTCTCTAGACTGTTTGTTTTCCATCTATATATTCCTCATTTTTCATTCCTGCTGCTATAATTTTAATTCAAGCTCTTGTTACCTTTTGCTTGGACAATTGTAAGGGCCTCCTCACTCCTAACTCTAACTGCAGCTTCTTCTTGCTGCCAAAGATAATAGGGTCAAAGTATTTGGAACTGAAAGGAACCTTAGAGATAATTTATTCCAAACCTTTTACTTTACTGCTGACGCAACTGAGGAGGCCACCAACTGAGGCGATGTGAAGAGTTGAAATGATGAGCTCAAAGCTCACGGTGCTTTTAGAATAATCTTGCTAATGCAGAGTACTTCCTACATAATTCCCCCAAAACCCATAAAATTTCAGTGGTTTCCTCTTCTATTGAACTCAGTTCATCTATTAAGCTAAGATTAGCATTGTACTCATCTGGGCGAAATATAAAGGTAATATAAGACACTGTCCCTGCCATCTTGGGCCTCAGAGTCTGATAGGGACAGACATTTGAAGGCCCCCACAATGTGGATCCAACCTGCTTCACCAACCTTGTCTCCCTCTACAAATACCCCTACGCCCCTTGAGGCACGATTTGTTCTAGCCAAATTGGACCATTCACCATTCTCTGATCTTTTTCTGACCTTTGCTCATGTCTCCAGAATGGATACTCTTCACATCTAGACCTGTGGAAATGCCACTTGTCGTCCAGCATCAACATTACGTCACTGCCTCCACATAGTCTCCCTTCCCCCTTCTGATGCTCTTCCCACTGCTTGGACACTTCAGATGATCACTTTCTAATGTATATTTTTCTAGTGATGAGTATACCTTGTCTTATCTCCCCATCAGGTGGTATGATAATAATAATTCACATGTATACAGTACTTTATAATTTATCAGGCTCTTTCCTTCTATCAACCCAAAAGCTTATGTTGGGTCCCTGGGCAAGTGACATGTTTATTTTACATATGAAAAGCTGAGGCCCAAAGACTTGGCCACAGTAGCAGAGTACTATCATAGCTGGAACTTGGGCCTGGTTTTCTCACATGAAATCTGCTCCTCTGAATGTGCCTTATTTCATTTTTTATCCCAGAGCCTAACCCAGTTACAGGCTCCAAACAAGGCAATCAGGACAACTCAAAATCAAATAAATACTTTTCTAGCAAGATGATTCCAATAAGATGGGAAAGCAAATAACCATTTTTGTAGATTTCAGGGGAAATTGACTCCTTTCCATTTTATCAACAATTTTTCTTTCAATTAACCAAATTTGCTAGATAGCTATCTTATAAACTGTTCACTGCCCCCTAAACATGGCAAGAACTGTATGGATTAATGCAAAGCGAAGCTGGAAGAACCAGACCATCGTGCACGGTAACAGCAATGATGCAGTGATGGTTGACAGTGAAATGAGGCGGCTGCTCTGAGCAAGACAACGATCCAAAACAGTCCCACAGGATCCATGATGGAAAAGGAGGGAACTGATGAGCTCTGACTGCAAACTGAGGTATTATTTTCTCACTTTATTTTCTTGCTTTTTTTGAAATAGGGAATTTTGTTTTACATGATTTCACACGTATAATTGATATCTTATTGCTTGACTTCTCAGGAGGGAAGGTGAGAATTTAGAACTCAAAATTTAAAAAGAAAAGAATGTTTAAAATAAATAAATAATGAATCAAAATGCTAAAAAACGAAAACAAAAGCAAAATATATCTCGCGAAGAGGAACATTACCTCAACTGCTGGGTTAATGTTTCCCCAATTCTTGGCTTATAAACGCATTCAGCAACTCCAGCCTTTCTTACCTGTTGAACATCTCTATTCTCAGTTTAGATTCAGTGAGCGGGTCTCTGACTGCATCATTTCTGTGTGGACAAACATACCCCGCAGTTAATGGTGTGAAGAGGAGAAGTGTTCATTATAGCTTCCAGATCCCCAGGTTTCCCATATGAATTTAACCTTCCCACGGGCATTCAGTGAAGTTTCCAAAGAGAGCCCCTTAATCGCCAGATACACTTTCTTTTCAGAGACGCCCAAGAGCTTTCAGGGAAATTACAGGGCATTCATGACGAGCTCCTTCCGGGCAATGGCTCAATCTCTTCCATGTCCTCCAAGCTGCTCATTCTACCCATGCTCACCACACTGCTTTGAGGACTCCTGAGTTCCATTTTGTCGCGTGAAGGTTAAAAGCTAGAGAAAGTCGCCAGGGTAGTTACTAGTGACTGGCTTACAGGGCTAAGAACCAGGATAAACCCACAGCTCTCCTGGCCAGCTGTCTAAGCAAGGTAGGTCTAGGGTAGGCCGGGATCTGTTCTCCCTAGAGACTGTCACATTTTCAGCATGAGCATTTATGTCTCAGAAATCTGCAAACACCTACAAATCAGGGCTTGATGGATTTGCTAATTGTCTTGACTTTAAAAAGTAATGAAGAAAACAACAATCATGTAGATTAAATTTAAAAGTGTTGTGTATGTGTGTGTATTTGGAGAGCTGGTTGTTAAACATTGATCAACCATCCCAATTGTCAAATAAATGAATAAACATTGTCTCATTCATTAATCAAGCAAATATTAGGTTCTTGCTATGTGCAATGCATTGGGCTATACACTGGGAAAGATGCCAAAATAAATTAGACAGAGCAGGACTGTAAGACATATGCACAGATAAATACATTACAGATTAGATTATAGTACGAACACAAGAAGATTATAAAATTCTCTGAGCATGGAGGAGTGAGCCCAGCCCTGGCTCTGCCACTCACTAGATGTGTGATGGGGCAAGTCACCTAACCTCAGTAAGCCTCAGTTTCCTTCACCTGTCAAAGAGTTATTACTTGCACCACCTACCTCACAGGGTTGATATTTTTAAAAACAGCTTTGTAAAGGGCTCTCTTCAAATGAATCATTTCAAGGGCCTCAAGTGCGGCCCTTTGACTGAATCCAAACTTCACAGAACAAATCCCCTAATAAAAGGATTTGTTCTGTAAAACTTGGACTCAGTCAAAAGGCCACACCTGAGGACCTAGAGGGCCACATGCATCCTCAAGGCCACAGGTTCCCCACTCCTGAACTAAGCCTACACTGCTTTTTGATGAGCATGACTTACTTATCTTCTTTTTTTTAAAGGAGAGGTTTTTTATATTTGTGTTCTCCCGCTCCACCTGCTTCTCTCCCTGTTCTGCCAGCCCTGGCTCTCACCAGGGCTGCCCATAGACCAGCCGGCCAGCAAACCACTCAAACACAGCCTGGCCTTTGGCAGGGTGGAAAGCATGGCGGTCTTACACTCCCATGTGGACGGCTCCTCCTGCGGCTGGCCTCCCAGGGTCACCATTGCTCTTCGCCAGAGACACAGAGGGCTCCTCGTTGATGACACTCCTCAGCTCCAGAAGCAGTTGTTTTAAGTCTCTCGTAGGGTCTTCCTTCAGGACAGCAACTTTGCTAGGTACCTGAAGGAGGACAATTGTTTACACAACACTGGTGCAACCCCACCAATAAAGATGTCACTAATCGGATTGGTCTGAATATATCTGACATCTTCTAAAGCATTATAGCATTTGGAATACAGGGTAATGATTACTTCTATCAGAAACAAAGAATTTTAGAGCTGGTAGAAACCTCAGGGATTTAGCCTGGCCCCTCATTTCATAGATGATGAAAAGAAATTATTTTTTTCAAATCAGCCTATATTCTTCAAGGATATAAAAGGTTTTACAGATAGTACTCCATTTTTGGCATGATAAATATATATTTGCACGCTATCTTTTGGCATCAGTGATATAATTTTGTAAAGTTGATTAGTATCTTCTGCTCAAATATTTCAAACCTAAATGACTTATCTAAAGTTTCTAAAACAAACAAATAAAAAAATCACTCATTTATTTGAACTCTACTCACTTGGAATTCATAATAATTTAAACAAGGCTTGAAGTTTAGTCTTTTTAAAATGTTGATATCTTCTTTTGCTTTTCCATTATCTTCATTTCTAATATTTTCTTCCCCTGCCTTTCTCTTTCATTTAAACATACATTCCCCAGGTAGGCAATATCACCCCCCTGGGAGATGCTGGGAAAATGCTGGGGGGGCAGCAGCAGCCTCACTTGCAATTGGGGGCATTGAATAAAAATAAGGGGGTGGTGGAAGCATAAAGAAAGAAGAGAAGAAAATTCTGAAAAGCCGCTCGTGCCTGTTTTATCTGTTGTGTAACAGAGTTAAAGTCACAATACAATACAATACAGTTACATGAGGCAATGTGGCAATGCAGGAAAAAATCCACAAATTCACAATCAATTACTAAATTTAAGCTGCATCATTTCAAAAAATCATATTTTTTAATATGATGCAAATTGTAAAAAAAGCATTAAAGGGTTAAAGAAAGTAGATTTCCAGGTTACACCAACCAGAGGCCAGTAGGACGACAAGGCATTGATATCACAAAGGGCTCACATCCTCCATCTTATGTGAGCCTCAGCCCCCTCTCAGCCCAGACTGGGCTGAAGCTCTGGTCTCTGAATGCCTCATCCATCTCCTTCCTCTGTCTCCTTAGCCTGTGATACACATCTGTTGACCTTTACCCCCAGGCTCTCTCCACTCTGCTGCTTGGCTCTGGTTCCTGATCTCCTCACATAAGCACATCTTATTAAAATACAATGCTAACATGACTAATATGAAAATACGTTTTAAACAACTACACATTATAACCTATATCAAATTGCTTGCCTTCTCAATGGGGGGGGGGAAAGGAGTGAGAGAATTCAGAACTCAAAATTTTAAAAACGAATGTTAAAAATTGTTTTTACATGAAATTGGGGAAAAATAAAATATTAAATATATAAACAAGGCCTGAAAGGAAAAAAAAATACAATGTTACTCCATTCCCTCCCCTTTTACCTGTCCCTATCTTATTTCTTTACAAAAGGGGGGAGGGGGGGTGAGGCAGCTAGGTGGTGCAGTGGAGAGGCCGCCAGCTGGTGCAATGCATAGAGCACCGGCCTTGGATTCAGGAGGACCTGAGTTCAAATCCAGCCTCAGACACATAACATTTACTAGCTGTGTGACCCTGGGCAAGTCACTTAACCCCATTGCCTACCCCAAAAAAGGGGGGGAGGGGTGCTCTTTCAGAGTGGCCCTCCAGGTGTGGAGCCCATCCCACTAACTCTCCTGTGAGGGTGCTCGCCTCCTCCGGCTTGTTGCCTCCACTTTGCACACCTGTACACGGCCAGCTGAGACCACGGGTTCTCCTGGCCACTTTCTTGTCGCTTCCCTCCTGGGATCACCTGGCCACCTCTGGTGCTCTTCTCTCTGCACTACAGCTATAGGCTGTGGTATCTGGCTTGGTGGATATACCTAGGCGGTTTTCTTTCCTTTTTGGGCTAAGATCCTTTTGCATAGATTTCCAAAACTCTAGGCAATGTTTTGCCAGCCCTTTTTAGATTAATCCCACCCTGCATTGTTTCGTACCTACTTTTTGCTATGTCTTCTATCTGCCCATGACCTTCTTCAGCCTGAGGCTCTCCCGCCCCCATGAGTCTATCCTCTCTGAGATCACCTTCCATTTACCCTGTGTCTTGTACGTTTGTAGTCGTGTGTTCCCCTTTAGACTGAGCAACTTGAGCACACAGGCCATGCTTCTGCTTTCTTTGTCCCTCTAGTGCTTAGTGAGTGCCTGGCACGTGCAAAGGAAGCACCTACTCGATGCTTGTGGACAGACTGACTGACCCTGGATCACTGCAGAGCCTCCTATGAGAGATTCATAATCACTGAGAAGAATTCAGAAAAAATCAAACACAAGAAGAATGTCTATTGTCCAGGCAGATGTGATACCCAGTTACACAACTCCTGGAGTGCACGCCACATGTGCCTTGGATAAACACTGTGTATCTGTGTATGAACCATCCACTGTGAATGAGCAATGAAGGGGGACTAGAACTGAAAAGGAGGAGAATGGGCAGGATCGCTTTGGGCAAAGTCTCCAAAGCTGCTCCCAGAAATAACCACCATCTTTTTAACAACAAAATTCTCCTGGTGATGCCGTATGACTTCAAGCCACAGAACCCCATGGACACTGTGGACTGCCCAAAGGGCAATGCCCAAGAGCAGGATGGGCATGGGAAGGCTTCGCTGTATTACCAGGAGAAAGCCGATAAACCATGTCATCGGAAAGATGGATAACTGGAACAGGAGGGAAGTAGGAAAACGGCTGTCTCCTTGACAGACATAATGAAAGCACTACCAAGACACCATGTACTACACAACTTCTCTTCACAAATTATTTTTTTAAATATCTAGCTCTACAACTAGTAATTAAAATGAATGATCCCCCTGTATATGCATACATGTTCTTTTTTCTTTTGTGGAAAATGTCTTGAGCTAAAGTTGTATATATGCCTTCCCTCATTTGCCACAGGGGTTAGAAAAAGTACTTACTAAGAAACGATGAACAGGTTGACTTCAGAAAACCGTGGAAAGACTTGTATGGTCTGATGCTGAGTGAAAGCGAGCAGAACCAAGAGAATATTGTACACAGTAACAGCCACGTTGTGCGATGACTAATATTGATAGACTTAACCCTTCTCAGCAATACAAGGATCTAAGACATCCCCAGAGGCCAAAGAAAGAACTATGGAAGTTGAATCACTATCTTCTTTTTTTTTCCTCTCTTCTGTTGAGTTTTGTTTCCTCTTTCTGATGGTTCCTCCTATTGGTTTTAATTTTTACTTACAACTTCACTAATGTGAAAATATGTTTAATAGGAATGTAAATGTACAGCCTATATCAGATTGTGTGCTGTCTTGGGGAGGGTGGGGGGGGAGGAAGGGGGAGAAAAATTTTCAACTCAAAAGCATATGGAAGTGATTGTTGATAAATCAAAATAAATTAATAAAATAAATTTGAAAAAAAAGAAAAAGTACTTACGTGAGATATGTAGCTGATGGTAGACTGGGTAGACGGTAAATTAGTAGAGTGGGGTCGGGAAGTAGGCAATGATGGTATGAGGCGCTGTTTCACAGAAGAACTTGGGGTGTAGCCTGGACTCTGACGTTCCTATACGTTAATATAGATATGGATATAAGCGGGCAAAATATTCCAAATAATTTCTGGCCCTTTGAACAAAAATAATTATGAAACCCAAGTGTAATTTTATGCTTACAAAACGGCAAGTGTTATTTGAATACTGAACACTGAATAGAACATTTTTTTAATATCACAAAAAACTTAATCCCTACAATTGACATATTAAACTCAATCACAATTGATTTTTAAGTTACTCTAAGGGAAGTCAGACTTTTGGGAAGGAATATTCATTCAGATTGTTGGTACAGGCAAATCTATGCTGTAGAGGCATAAATAGGTGCCTTGGTTGTCTTCAGATTACCTTCATGATGAAGATCTGGGAGAAATGACACAAACGAAAAAATAATGGTACGACCCAGGCTCCATTCTCCAAAGGGCTCCCTACTGTTGAGAAGATGGAAGAAGACAGAGCTCTTCCAGAGGGTACTATATGAAACCCAAACTGATCCAACACTAGGTATACACAAGCAAGGCTTTCTATGGTCATGAAAACAATACATGTCAATTTTAGGTACTTGGGTCATGAGAACACTCTGGAGCTGGTATGAAATAAATTCCACTGACCTAAGATAGCAGGAGATATCTTTAGAAAGTGTGAGATTTGAGCTCAATATGGCCAAAGGAAAGTGCTACTGTCTCGTCCTGCTTACCTTTCGAGCTTTTGTATCTGGAAAGAGATACGGTTATGAAGCAATATCCTAGTGCTGGTATCATCTGACCTGGTGTGCTGAGCACGCCCAGCCAGGTATCAGAAAGGCTCTACAGGGCATACAGCTAGGAACAAGAAAATGGAATGTGTTGATTTGGCTGGATTTAATTCCTAACACTTGGAGCTGTGCAAAAGTGAAACAGGCTACCTGTGTAGGTGAAGAGTTTCCTCTCCCTGAAGGAGAGACGACCAATTGTCAGGAATATTGCAGATGACCAAGAAGATCCCAACCGACTCTAAAATTCTACCATTTAAAAATTCTATGAACCAAAAGAAAAAATTCTGGTTTGTTCTTCCAAAGATCCATATGTACGAAGCTAAGAGGTTAAGACAAGTAGTGTATGTGATAGGAGAATGTCTCCTGCTTTTCAGTGGGCTTGGCTAGATATGAAAATTTTTCATTGTTTATAAAATGCAGCATTTTATCATAATGTCATAATCTGGAATAACGTAAAGCAGTAATAGAAATAGATTCAAAATGATTTTCAGGTTGTCAGCAAGTGGAAGAGCAGTGGCATCCCCTCTTTTCCCTGACTTCCCCTGAAAGTGTTCCATCAAACTTCCCGGACATCTTAGTGCTGGTTCCTGGCACCATGAAGATTTGGATGTCAGCACCTGTCTTCAGCTACTGATGGGAAATAGTTACTTTAGCTACCAGGTAGACATCTCCAAATCCTAAGCATCCAAGGGTAGCTGGAGTTGATGTATCAGACAGACATATAGAGTCCACTGGAAAATTATATGACCATAGCCTTCTCAGCACAAAGAGGGGAATGCCTTTTACTGTAAAAATCACTTATTGGGGCAGCAGGAGCCAAAGAATATGAGCAGGAACATTTTTGTAGGTGATCTCACTGAGAAAGCAATGGACCTTACATTGACTAATATTTCATTTACAAGTACTGTTTCAGAAGGTGAAAGGCTTATTATGAACCACATCCTCAAGAACCAGGCAAAGAGGACTTTGGCTCAAGAAGCCAGTTACTGTGAAAGGAATGAGCCTTAGCAATTATCCCAAAGGAGTGATGGGAAATGTGCTATTATCTAATGTTAATAAAGGTCATGAAGCAAGGGAGTGGGGTAATTTTTTAAAAATTCTTTTACTATTTTATTTTTCCCCAATCATATAATTATATAAAACAATTCTGAACATGTATTTAAAAAAAATTTTGAGTTCCAATTTATTTCTCTCTTTCCCTCCCCTCCCCTCTTCTTGAGAATGCAAGCAATTTGATATAGGCTATACATGTGCAATCATACAAAACATATTTCCATATTAGCCATGTTGCAAAGAAAACACAGACAAAAAAAGCCAAGAAAAATAAAGTAAACACAGTATGCTTCAATCTGTATTCAGACGCTATCAGTTCTTTCTCTGGAAGTGGATAGTATTTTACGTACCAAGTCCTTTGGAATTGTCTTGGATCACTGAATAGCTGAGAATAGCTACACTGTACATCAAACAATACTGTATATCATACAATATTGCTGTTACTATGTACAATGTTCTGCTGGTTCTGCTCATTCCACTTTGCATCAGTTCATATAAACCATTCCAGGTTTCTCTGAAGGCATCCTACTCATCATTTCTTATAACACAATAATATTTCATCATAATCATATACTACAAGTTGTTCAGCCATTCCCCAATCTATAGACATCCTTGAAACTTTCGATTCTTTGCCACCACAAAAAGAGCTGTTATAAATATTTTTGTACATACAGGTCTTTTTCCTTTTCCTTTTTTATCTCTTGGAGATACAGACCAAGTGGTGTTACTGCTGGATCAAAAGCTATGCAGTCTGATAGCCCTTCAGGCATAGTTCCAAACTGCTGTCCAGAATGGCTGAATCAGTTCACAACTCTACCAACAGTGCATTAGTGTCTCGGTTTTTCCACATCCTCTCTAACATCTGTCATTTCCCTTTTCTATCATAACAGCCAATCTCATAGGTGTGGGGCAGTACCTCAGAGTCGTTTTCATTTGCATTTCTCTAATCAATAATAATTTAGAGCATTTTTCATATGACTACACTTGGTTTTTATTACTTAGTCTGAAAACTGCCTGTTCATATCCCTTTTACTATTTACCAGTTTAAGAACAACCTATTTCTTATAAACCTAACTCAGTTCTCTATATATTTGAGAAATGAGGCCTTTATCAGAGAAACTTATTGTAAAACATTTTTTACAGTTATGGTTACTATGTATTTCATTTCCTCCACCCTATTCCTCCCCTCTCCTCCATTTATTCTTCTCTCTCTCTGCTTTCATCCTGTCCATCCTCAAAAGTGTTTTGCTTCTGACTATCACCTCCCCCAATCCACCCACCCTTATGTCAGCCCTCCCCACCTTCTCTTATCATCTTCCCTTCCCACTTCCCCATAAGGTAAGATAGATTTCTATACCCAACTGAGTGTGTATGTTTTTCCCTCTTTGAGCCAATTCTAATGAGAGTAAGGTTCAAGCACTCCCTCCAATTTCCCCCATCTTCCCCTCCATTGTAAAAGCTCTTTCATGCCTCTCTTATGTGTGATAATTTACGCCAGTCTACTACTCCCTTCCTCCTTTTACCAGTGCATTTCTCTTTCTCACCCTCTAATTTTATTTTTTTTTTTAGCTATTACCCCACCATATTCAGCTCACACCTGTGCCATCTGTCTATATATATGTATGCTCCTTCTAACTGTCCTAATAGTGAGATAGTTCTTAGGAGTCACAAATATCATCTTTCCATGCAGGAATATAAACAATTTAACCTTATTAAGTCTCTTATGATTTCCCTTACCTGTTTATCTTTTTATGCTTCTCTTGAGTTTCGTATTTAAAAGTCAAATTTTCTATTCAGTTCTAGTCTTTTCACCAGGAGTGCTTGAAAGTCCCCTATTTCGTTAAAGATCCATTTCTTCCCCTGAAGGATTATGCTCAGTTTTGCTGGGTAGGTGATTCCTGTTTGTAATCCTAGCTCTTTTGCCCTCTGATCCTTTACTGTAGAAACTGCCAGATCTTGTGTTATTGTAACTATGGCTCCATGATATATGAATTGTTTCTTTCTGGCTGCTTGCCATACTTTCTCCTTGACCTGGGAGGTCTGGAATTTGGCTATAATATTCCTAGGAGTTTTCATTTTGGAATCTCTTTCAGAAGGTGATCATTGGATTCTTTCAATTTCTTTTTTACTCTTGGGTTCTAGGATATCAAGGCAGTTTTCCTTCATAATTTCTTCAAATATTCAAATATTCTTCAAATAATTTCTTCAAAATTATTTTGATCATGGCTTTCAGTTATTCCAATAATTCTTTTTTTTTTAAGGGCAACTGGGGTTAAGTGACTTGCCCAGGGTCACACAGCTAGTAAGTGTCAAGTATTTGATCTGAGGCTGGATTTGAACTCAGGTCCTCCTGACTTCAGGGCTGGTGCACTATCCACTGTGCCACCTAGCTGCCCCAATTCCAATAATTCTTAAATTATCTTTTCTCAATCTATTTTCCAGGTCAGTTGTTTGTCCAACAAGATATTTCACATTTTCTTCTGCTTTTGATTTTGTTTTATTGTTTCTTGATATCTCCTGGAGTCACTAGCTTCCAGTTGCCCAATTCTAATTTTTAAGGAATTACTTGTTTCAGGGAGCCTCTGCACCTCCTTTTCTATTAGGCCAATTCTACTTTTTAAGGAGTTCTTTTCTTCAGTGGATTTTTGTACCTCTTTTACTATTTGGCCTATTCTGTTTTTAAGGTGATATTTTCTTCAACATTTTTGGTGCCTCCAACCAAGCTGTTGACTCTTCTTTTCCATTATTTTCTTGCATTGCTCTCATTTCTTTTCCTAGTTTTCTTCTACCTCTCCTATTTGATTACTAAAATCTTTTTTGAGCTCTTCCACAATTTGTCTCGGACCTGGAACCAATCTGCATTTTTCTTTGAGGCTTTGGATGTAGCAGTTTTGAATTTCTTGTCTTGTTCTGAGTTTGTATTTTGATCTTCTCTGTCACTATAGTAGCTTTCTATGGTCAGGTTCTTTTTTTGTTGTTTGCTCATTTTTCCAGCCTATTTCTTGACTTTTATCTTTATATTAAAGTTGGGCCCTGCTCCTGGGGTAGAGGGGACACTGTCCCAAACTTCAGGGATTTTGTATAGCTATTTTCAGAGCTAGTTCTATAAGTTTCTGTAAGGGATCTTAAGTTCTCAGTTCTTCCAAGGGGGTATGATCTAAGTAAGGGTGTGTTTACTACTCTCCTGGCCTATATTCTGGTCTGTGAGTG